CACGGGCACGGTCTGGGAGAAAACACGGGCGTGTTCTACGTTGGACACGGCCGTGTCCTAATCAATCCCGCCCGTGTTTTTTAGCTGGTGTAGCACACATGTGGAGAGCTTCGGCAGTAAAAGCACGGCCAGGAACACGGCCGTGTTCCTGAGGCCTCCTGCCCGTGTTTTGGTCCTGGCTCGACCAAACGACTTCCAAATGCTCCGAAACTCGCGCTTGGCCTTCCCTTCGACGCCTGGGACCTGAAATAGGACAAAGTAGCACACCCCGGCGTAAAATAGGCCAAAACACACAAATATGCTCCACAAATGGATAAGAAATAGGGGTATAAAATCATGCAATTACATCGTTATCAAACTCCCCCACACTTAACCGTTTGCTTGTCCCTAAGCAAACCAAGTCAGACACCAGGTAAGCTCAAAACATTTCAATCAAGCAGGCTTTAGGGCAAATCATATCGGCACAAAACACGTGGATCATACTGGCTTTCGATCATCAGCACATGGCAACTCGAACGACAACCTAGACAACCACCACATATGACATTCGAATGCAATAAAGTCGAGCAAAGGAAGAGTTCTCTTCTGTTCACCAACCAACATTGACTTGACTCAACCACTTGTTCAAAACAGTCACTTCATGCACAAAGATCAAGATATCAGAATTAAGACCGAGCAATCTAGGTCCACACCGGTGTAAAGAGTATAGAGAATATGAGAAAATGAATCGCTCACCCTCGACTAGTGGGGTCAGGACAATTTGATGCGAAAAATGTGCATGCTTATTCTCTCAATCCCTAACGTCTCTTCACCATGAATGCAGCCTCTAAATGCTAGAATTCACATAGGGGGTGTCACCACTAACTAATCTGGAGGTCTTAGACACAGGTTCAACTGACTGGCTAGGGTCTTGGACATGGGGAAAAGGAGTTTTAGGTGGTGGAAGTTATAGCACAAGGTTCCACATTTCCAAACCCAACAAAAATCACAGTCAAGCAAACCAGCAACTTCCTTTCTGCTATTCTGCATTACTCAAATTCTTTAGGGCACAGGAGCGAAGGAGGTTATATAAATGTTAGCATTTCCAAGCCAGACTGCTAAGAAACACTACTTAATGGGCACTATTCAGACTTTTGGTGGTGGCTCTCTTTTGCTTTCAATTTTTCTTTGTTTTTCTTTCATTTTCTTTTCATTTCTTAAGAGAGCCCACCACTTCTGCACACATTTCAAACACATGCCCAACTTTTAAGCACTACCTCCAACCCTCACATTACATTTAGCAGAAACAGCAGAAAACATATAAAAACCACTCTGTGGAACCTTCTAAAAGATACAAAAGGGTGATTTTTCATTGCAGATCAAAAGAAAGGATAACACACGGCTCAAAGGGGCTGACTAGGGGATTTGGTCGTGGGCTAATCCTATGCCTCCATCATCTTAGCTAGTGACAACGTGAATGCTACACATCATGGAAGAGGAATCTATCGCACAAGAAAGAAACGAGCAGGCTCAAATCTCACATGGCTACCTATATGCTCTATCTCACATTCTGATTCCCTGAACTAGATGCATAAATGACTGTCAAAAGCAAGTGATCAAATTCAAGTCGCAGTTGGTAAGCAAACAGTTGAAAACTGAACCCCTACACAACTCTACTACACATCTCAGTCATCGTAATAGGATGTCTTAGTCACACTCAAGTTGTCATGCATCAAGTCAAAAGCCATTCAATTCAATAATCACATCCACAGTGCCAATACGATCAAACATCAAGCAAACAGCAGTGCTTGGAGCCCTCAAATCTCGAGATTTGGACAGTGGACTAGGCTCCAAGCACCCATACACACGTTCCAATTAATACAAAGAACCCCCCCCCCCCCTCACACACATACTTAAATGCGACAATGTCCTCAATGGAGCAGAGGGAAGGGGAACGATGTTACCGTGAAATGAGATCAGGAACGAAGATTGGGAGGCAGACCAGGCAAAAGCGGGGACTGGAAGGGGGGACCAGTCAGGGACACAGGCACAGCTAAAGGGAACAGAAAAACTCCAACACAATACGTTAAGTCCAATGGTCAGCCCAATATTATATTATCCAAAACAAAAGAAAACAAACCAGTTCACAATCCGACCCGAAACAAAAGAACTAAACGAAAACCGTGGTGGGGTTGCCGCCCCACAAGCGCTTCTTCACTGTCTTTTAGCTGGACGCCCATGGTAGATACTCAGCGGGTTGCAGGAACAGGTGCCTCCAAGAGCGGATCCACATCCAGGCGAATTTCACGAGGGTGGACCAGAGCATAGCCTCTCTGGAGGCAGGACAGAGGAACCAGGGTGCTATTCTGCAAGATTTACAGCACCAAGTCGGTGTCCTGGCGCGCCAACTTACTGCCCGGGCCCCGGGGACTCTACCTGCCACCACCATCCCCAATCCACGGGAACCCCACGAGCAGCTGGATGCCATCTTCACCAGGAGTGGCAGGCCCGCATTAGCTGATCCTGCCCCGACCAGGCAGGAGGAACCACTACCTGTTTCAGCACTTCCAGCCGAGAATGTAGAAGTGCGGGTGGAGAAGGAAGCCCCTGCTCCCAAGCCACAACCAGTGAGGTCCCCGGCAACGGCGCCAAAAACTTGACTCACTCCTACTGTCACTCTAGAAAATGGCCAAGTGAAACCACTTCCTAAAGCGTAGTACAGCGGGTTTAGGTTTTAATGTCAACCCGGGTCCTAGATATGATCACTACTCAGTGAATTCGTATTATCTAGCAATGAAACTTTAGTGAAGGTCTAAACTAACAAACAAGCAAAGCAACTAAACGGTTGTTTTCAGGTTAAGAGAGGTCACCCGGATATGGTTCCCCCTAGACTGCAGTTAAGCCGGATTGCAATTACCAAGTTCAATTTCTATGATAGTTATACTGCGGAAGGTTCTCAAACAGTCTGAAGTCTCGACTAAAGGTCGCCAGACCCTCTCAATCTGAGTCTCTAGCGGGCGACTAACCTCCACCGGAGTAAACAGATTGAGGCCCTAACGAACCAAACCTCCACTACCGAATTGAATTCGGTACAGAATAGCGAATTGGCTCCTCGACTTAAGTCACCAATTCACTACCTTCAATTAAGGATACTCTATCAACCTAGGCAGATATTCTCATTCTATGTTAAAGCAGAAACAACAGGAATTTGATCAGTATTCATGCCATTCAATCATTCAAACCTCAATCGAATATAATCAAATCATAGAAACAGTACTTGGGTTCATACAATCAAAACCTAACATACAGATCTAGGGTTTCCCATACCCAGATGAATGGGAGAACTACTCCATGGAGAAAGAAGCAAAAGCAGATTCAGACGCGGAAATCATACTGTGAAGGATGGATTTCTGCTCCTGGACGTTAATCGGCACTCCTCCAAGCTCAAGCCAAGCTCCAATGGTGACGAAGATCAAGCTAGGGCACTTGGAGACTCTTGTTCGTCACTTACTCTCTCTAGGAATCGCTCTGTCTCTCTAAAACTCGAATCCCCTCTCTTTTTGGCTGAAATCTGCCTAAAAGGGCATCACTGGCCAGAACACGGTCGAGGACACGGCCGTGTTCTGATCCAGCCCGCCCGTTCCCTCTGCCACGTGGTAAATACACGGGCACGGTCTGGGAGAAAACACGGGCGTGTTCTACGTTGGACACGGCCGTGTCCTAATCAATCCCGCCCGTGTTTTTTAGCTGGTGTAGCACACATGTGGAGAGCCTCGGCAGTAAAAGCACGGCCAGGAACACGGCCGTGTTCCTGAGGCCTCCTGCCCGTGTTTTGGTCCTGGCTCGACCAAACGACTTCCAAATGCTCCGAAACTCGCGTTTGGCCTTCCCTTCGACGCCTGGGACCTGAAATAGGACAAAGTAGCACAACCCGGCGTAAAATAGGCCAAAACACACAACTATGCTCCGCAAATGGATAAGAAATAGGGGTATAAAATCATGCAATTACATCGTTATCAAGTAGCAATTCTCAAACTTAAATGGTACCGGATGTATTTTATCCGTGCATTAGCTTCCTTTTGAAAGAAAGGTGCAGGAGGAGTTTTGGAGAGGTTCCCCGCCCCTTGAAGTATTGGTTGAGATGATGCGTGTGATGAAATGAAGTTGTATGGGTTGGGTAATATGGAGTTCTGTAACTGTTTCAACAAGACTAGTAGTTGCTGTTATATTGTTCAGTTTGAGTAGTTGTTCTTAGTTTTTCATGTATTAGCTAAGATAGGTGGGCAGTAGGTGGGCAGTATGTATTTGTATTTTTGACTCTTGTGCCGTTTTCGACAAGAGAGGGCTTAATTATGTGAGAAACATAATTATTTGTCATTTCATTGTTTTGGGATTAGTTATTATTGTTTAAGAATTGGTGCTATTTGGGGGATTTGGGAATAAGTAAGGGTTAGTTTATCAAGTCAAATTGATTGGATATGAAAAGGTAATTAGTAGGGTATATATTCTGTAATTAGTTGAATTTTCACATTAAGCAATTACATAAGCATAATTCCCAAACCTAATCTTCCCCTCTCTTTCTTTCCTCTTTGCGTCTCCTTCTTTCCCCTCAAAGCTGCAGCAGCAGCAACTTCTTCCCCTTCCCTTCTCGTTCTAAAAATTCTCTCATCTCTAATCTCTAGCTAGATCAATTCCTAATTGATGTAGCTAATTTTCCAATTCAAAATCGTTAGAAACTTTGTTTCTAACATTATATCTCTAATTACCGAGAAAAACACAGTAGTCATTCAATTATCGGAAAAAACTGTAATTGTTACTTGATCCATAAATAGAATTTTATTATTCAAGTTTACAATTTTATGTTCACCCAATTTCGTGATTTTAAGTAAAATCTGTAATTGTTACTTGATCCATAACCATAACTACGGTGGTGCTCTCTGTCCTTGATATGGAGGAGGTTGTTGAACTTTGGTCAGCGGCAGCGCTTGGCCTGGGAAAGTCAAGTTATAGGTCACTTTTCCGCAAGTTCAACATACATAACCGTAACCGTTGGTATCATAGCTAACATCACTTTAATGATTATGGGGATGGTTCTAAGGCAAAGGGATGACGGAATGAAGTGGACGAGGGCTTATTTCCACTTTACTGGGTTAGTTACTAATATCTCACATATTTCTCACCAGTCACCACTACAGACGCTGAACTTGGAATCCAATAATATGTTCCAAGTCAAGGAAAATCGATTTTGTTGGTTCAATCAAGAGCACTTTGCTCAGAGACGGGCCTAATATGCATGTGGACTCGATGTGTCTGCTAGAGAAGGGAAACCAGTCACAGAAGTACCATCATGATACCGCTGGATTTCAATCGTGGTGACGTATGTTACTCACTGTGCTGGCTTTGAAAACCTCATTATACATAATCTAATAACACAACAAAAGTGAGTTTGATACAATCATTGGTTAACCCTATCCATTCCTAATCACGAGACTTAAACATGTTGCAGGAGACCTCAATCTTTCTGCTCCAGCTTTCAGATAAATGTTCACAAGCGCATAGTGCTTGAGATAAAATAGGAACCTCGCATGTAGCAACTTCCTCATTCAACCTTTGCAATGACTCCAGAGGGAATGCCGCCTTCTCCAACAGTCTCCCTGACAAACCTGCAAGCAATTGGAAATTCACTTTTCAAGGACGAGGGAGTAAAGCAAAGCACTGTCCATCACAGACTATAAGATGCTCAAGTTTTCATCTCCTGTAAAAATACAAGTGGAGATAAAGAGGGTTCAAAAGATCATAGTACCTTGCCAATTTGTCCCGTGATGACTGCAGGATGTAAATTGAGAGAATGAAAGACATCGTAAGGCCTGTTAGAATGCATCAAACCAATTTTAGACAAATATTAACCCTTTCTTCTAGCAATGAAGTGCACCAATAAACCATCCATGCTAGAATGAAACAGCTCTAGTATGTTGAATAGAGGCACCATGATTACCTGATCCGAACAAAACATAAAAACCAGCAGTCACATCAATGTCAGAATGCTCCTCCCTGTCACGCCAAAACATAGACTTCAGTCAAGTTACTTCCTAACTCAAAATGGCAGCATTGGAAGCAGCTTTTCCAGCTGGCAATTAGGACGATAGACAGCTTGAATCCCAAGACCATGGTACTAACCAAGTGTATCTCACAAGAACATGCTTGGGCCAATGCTGAGGATCCCAAAATTGTTTACGGATATTGGGATGAATTTCCACATCTGTCAAAAGTCCAAAACATGAAAGAATCCACAGTTAAACTAAACCATATATGCAAATGCGAACAGACAACTTAAATGAAATGGATAAGATGTTAACCAGATCATTCCCTACGAAAAAGATGATAATGACTAAATGCATAGGCAGCACGTGAAGACTTAAGAGAAAGGAACCTATGCAGTAATGCAGCATGTGTACAATTTGGAAAGTCATATATGAAGAACGAGAACATTAACTCTAGTTGGCTAGATACAGCTAACAAGCAATGCTTTCAAACAAATTGTCTCACGATAAGAAGGATTATTATGCATTCAAAGAAAAGACTAGGGAAGAAAGTGCAGAAGACTGTCACTTACAGTGATGAGGCATATCTACAACTTTAGCAGTGATCCCATGCAAATCACCACCTGCATACCTCTGCATCAAAACAAAGCAAACGGTAAATACCCTGTCAATTATTGAAGACAAATTTACATGAAGTATCTTTTGACCAGCATATCTTCTACAGGGACAACCTTCAAACATGCCACAAGAGGACCCAGCATATATTGTAATGATAAGTTCATCAAAAGTGAATGGCTTACCAAATGCACATCAATCATAGGAACCTCGGAACTCTTCCTATTAATCACGTAAAGCCACGGTGTTTGATATTTTTCCCTTCCTACTTGAAAGGATCTGGATATACAACAAACATGAAAACACATGAGCACATAAGATAGTCACTAGCATAGAGACATGTGAAATCTAGAGGACTGATTTAGATTTTAGAGAAATATGCAGAAATGGGAACTCTGGGAGCTCCACCTAAGCAAGCAGTAGGCAGTAGTAACTAGTTCTTGAATGCGAATGATTTCGCAAGCCAAAGGATCCCATATCCCAATTGGTAGCCATAACAAGTGAAAATGGAAGTGAAAATTCTCTAAGTTCAGCAGACGACGAGAAGAAGGGGTAAATGGAACGAATTACTCACATCTTGTAAGGATCTGCACCCGTATAACCTGTGGGCTTTGCGATTGGAACCAAAACCTGCGCGTGAAATTTCAATCATCAGCCACCCCAGAGATGGGAGAACCCAATTTGGTCCGCTGAAAAGGAAGCTCACCTCGCGATTAACGCCAAAAATGGGGCAATGCTTGCCGATCATATCGTGCCACATGGTTCTGGACTGAGAAAATTTCAGGAATCGAATCAGATATTCCCGTCAATTGCTCGGTGACAATCCAACTACCTACAACGCCTAGGAAGGGAGAGGAAATAGAGAAACGAACCGAGTGGTATTGTCCCATCTTGCTCATCGGAACGATGTCTCCCGGCCGGTATGCCAGGGATACGGACGAGAATGACAGTACAAGTAGAAGAACAACCGTCGCAATTCTGCTCCGACTTCGTTCCCCGGTCGCCGCCATCCCGCCGCGATCAACAGTCCAAAAAGAAAGCAAGTTCATCAAACACTTCCAAGTTCCAAAAACCACTCGGTCAGAGACTCAGAGTTTGGCAGCTTTGTCTCGTCATTAGGGTGTTAACGAACGAAGCCCAGGCCCAGGTGAATGTTAAATAGAATGTTCAATTGGCCCAACTTAGCTAGGCATTTGAGAAACCTGCAACTCTAGCCCTTCAGGCCAGAAATGGGACGGCCCATCCCAGACATGGTCTCCCTTTTTCCTAATTAATTAATGTGCAGTCTAATTGAGATTTTTTTTGGTAGAAAAGTGGGACGCTAAAAGGGTGTCTCTGCCTGAAACATTAAACTAAACGAGATTGGACAATGCCCAAAGAGTCATACAAGAGCCAAAAATTAAGCCCTGAGTCATTAAGCTCAACAACATGAAATCCTAAACCAAGATAATGGTCTCTATTAGCCAAAAAATCAGCTGCTTTGTTTCCTTCTCTAAACGTATGAGAGATACGGACCTCCCAGTCTTGATGAAAGAGGCTCTAGAATTGCCTCCAGAGATTGTGATAGCGGCCTTCATAGTGCCACGCGAATTCATAATGCCGAGGGTGACCATCGAATCGATTCTCAGCTCCACTTTGCGGCAACCCAAGCTCCAGGCAAGACGAAGTCCCTGGATAGCACCCAACAACTCTGCCCTGGTAATTGTACAAGCACCTAGATTCGAAGTGAACGCACCTAGACATTTACCAGAGCTATCGCGGACCAGGCCCCCTGCAGCTGCCAGCGAATCCGGATGTTTCACAGAGCCATCGGAGTTGACTACAACCCAGCCGGGACCGGGGGGTCCAAGCAACTTCAGTCGCGGTCTTTCTTTGTTGCGGAGTGTGGATGGCCTTTTCATTGCTTTGTGCTTCTCTAATGGTGTTGGTCCAGCTTTGTATTCTTTGGACAAGAGTGTGAGTATCTTGATGCTTGTTGTTGAAGATCCAGTCGTTCCTTCTTTTCCATAGGTACCACGCTGCAACTCCAAACAGCAGCCCGGTCTTCGAGTCCTTAAGATTCCTTGCCATCCAATCTGTCAGGTTGAGACCAATAGTTAGAGTAGACTCTGTTATCCCAAGCGCTTGCCATACCTGAGTAGCCGAAGCACAGTGGCGCAGGATGTGTTTCGTGGATTCAGGGGCCGCTTTGCACATCTCGCAAGTATCTCGAACGCTGATCTTTTGCCTTTTCCTCTCGCAATTCGTCATCAATCGGTTATGGAAGGCTACCCAGAGAAAATGCCGAATTCTGTTAGGGCCATCCCATCTCCAAATTTCCTTCCAGGTAGGAGCTGCAGTGGTTGAAGCCGCATCCCCATCCCCTTTACTGAACCAATCCGCCGCTACGGTATAAGCAGATCCCAGCCGAAACTTCCCATCCTGCTCCATCCCCCACGACGTCTGATCCTCACCCGATTCTTCGTTCGGCGCATCAAGCCCTGCAATGAGAAGATTAAAGGAGTCAGGGAGATAATCTTTAAAACGCGACCAATTCCACTCACCTGGGCTAATGGCCATATCTTCAACAGAGGCGTTCCAGTCTACAGCATCGCCTTGATCGTCTGCATAGTACTTGAGGTAAACTCCATCGGCGACCCATGCATCGTGCCAGAAATTGACACTCTCACCATTCTTAATATCCCACACGGTTCCTTGTTTCACAAGTGGGAGGGCTTCCAAGAACCCTTTTCAAAGTCTAGTGACCCGCTGTTGACGCATCGACACACTGCCATTGTCATTCGTCTTGACATACTTATCGTGCAAAACTCAGACCCAAAGAGGTTTTTCATCATTAAGGAAGGTCCATCCTAGCTTCATTAAATAAGCCAGATTAAGCCCCCGAGCCGAGCGAAGACCCATGCCCCCTTCCTCCTTCGGCTTACACACATTCTCCCACGAGACTAGATGAGCTTTGATGTGTCCTTCTTCAGCTCCCCAAACAAAACGCCTGATCTTTCTATCGATCGCCTCGCAGATGTGACATGGGAGGATAGCCGTTTGCATCACGTAGTTCGGGAGGGCATTCAGCACCGAGAGAGAGAGGGTGACACGACCTGCTAAAGAGAGGCTCTGAGTCTTCCATCCCGCCAGACGTTTGTCTATCTTCTCTAGAACATACTTGTAAGTGTCCTTAGTGACATGACCATGGAGCACCGCTACACCAAGATATCTGCCCAGGTTATTGGTTTGCTTCATGCCCAGTAATCTACTAATTCTTCTCTTTCTCTACTCCCTGGTATTCTTCGAGAAATAGATACACGATTTATCCTTGCTCACTTCCTCCGCAGAGGCTGCGCAGAACCTATCAAGGCAATCGAGAACAGCCCTCCCCTGCTTTGTATCAGCTTCAGCGAAAAGAACTAGATCATCTGCAAAAAAGAGATGCGTCAGTGCAGGACCATTCTTAGATAAATGCATAGGAGCCCAATCACCGTTGCCAACAGACTCTTTAATACAATGATTCAAACGTTCAATGCATAAAGTGAACAGATAGGGAGAGAGAGGACATCCCTGTCTTAGACCTCGTGATGGTTTAAATGAGTCCGTACAGCTACCATTCCAGAGAACCTGGAAGCTAGAGGTTGTAACACACGCCATGATCAGATTGATGAAGTCAGTAGGAAGGCTTGCCGCTACCAGGGTGGAACGCAGGAACTCCCAGTTGACTCTGTCATACGCCTTGGCTAAATCAATTTTCAAAACCATGTTCCCACGACGACCCTTTAGCTGGCTAAATGAGTGGACCACCTCCTGCAGGATAATAATGTTGTCTGTGATGTGTCTATTGGGGACGAAACTGGTTTGGTTGGGAAGGATATTTCTCAGGCGATCTGCCAGGCATTTAGCTAGCACCTTGTAGCTCACATTATAGAGCCCTATAGGTCAAAACTGACCCAAAGACGAGGGAGAGTCAACCTTGGGAAGCAAAGAAAGGAGGGTCATGTTGCAACTGGCAATGCGATCTGGTTCCTTGAAACACTAGACTAAATGACGGTGGAAATCCTTGCCGATAGAAGCCCATCATTTCTGATAAAACACTGCATGGAACCCATCCTTGTCCGGGGCCTTTAGACCACCCATCGCCTTGATGATCCTGCAGGTTTCTTCTTCCGTGGGAACAGCAGCCAGGCCACGCAGAGCACTCTCCTCAATCGCCGGAAACATGGCCACTAAGAGAGGCCTTATACCAATATCCTCGGTGAAGAGAGTGATATAGAAGTCCCTTGTCATATCTTCCAATAATTGGGGATCTTCCACCCAGGTTCCATCCGTAGCTTTCAGTTTAGAGATCTTATTCCGACGACATCTAGTCAAGGCAGCACTGCAGCAGTATGGAAGAACGAAGTGTTTTTATCCCCAAAGTTGATCCAGCCCGCTCTAGCTTTCTGTATCCAGAGTAGCTCCTCCTGCCATAAGGCATGCTCCAATTTATCACGAAGAGAGGCCTCTTGCTGAAGGCCATAGGGATCAGGTGCAGAGTCGTTCCTGACTTCGGCAGTAGCAAGACGTTTGGTGAGAGTAGCCTTCCTCCTAAAAATGTTACCGAAGACCTCCCTATTCCAGGTTGAGAGGGTGTGTTGAAGGTCTTGGAGGGAGTCGATGAAATCAGTTCCAGACTTCCAAGAGTTCCTTAACGTGGGCTGAAAATCTTCGTGAGTGAGCCACGGGGCTAGAAACCTGAAAGGCCTCTTCTGCTTTTTGTGAGGTTGGTCGTTGGAAGAGCAAATGAGAAGAGGTCTGTGGTCTGAACGAAGCCGCGGTAAGTGAATAGTGATCGTCTCCGGGAAGCAACTCATCCATTCAGCATTGCAAATTGCCCGATCCAGTCTGGAGAAGAGGTTTCCCCTGACCCAGGTGAACCTTGGCCCCCTGAAATCCACATCTAACAGCCCACAGGCATCAATGCACCTGTTGAAATTAGCTGAATTTGATGGGTTATAAGCCGCCCCGCCAATTCTCTCTAAGGGCCCTCGGATGGAATTAAAGTCGCCAGCCAATAACCAAGGTTCAGAGATGTTCTGCTCCAGTCTTCTAAGTGCATCCCACAGCGGCAACTGATCGTGGTCATTAGGTTTGGCGTAGACTGCCGTGAGGAGCACTGCTTGATTATCCTGCACATTCACACAACGAAAATGGAGCATCTGAGAATTACGTTCCAGAACAGAGATGGAGAGGACAGCGGAATTCCACAGAACCCAAATGCCCCCCAAAAATCCCACAGCCTCTACCATCTCATGCTTATCAAAACCCATTTTACTAATAACCTCCAACGCATCCTTGCCACTGATACGAGGCTCAACGATGAAAATCAAATTAGGGCGATGGGAAAACACATAATCTTTGAAAATCGCCAAAATTTTTGGGTTTTTAGCCCCACGACAATTCCAAGAAAATAACTTAATCATAGAAAGGGAAGGGAAGAAAAAGCGCCCAAGCGCTAGGTTTCAGTGGCCGACTGGCCCCCATTCACTTCGATGACCGGCGGAGAGGCAGTGGCCAGGTCGCTGTTGTCTGCCATCGCCAAATCATTCACTTTGCCGACATCCGATTGCAGGTTTCCCTCGGAAGGCCTCTTCATGGTATTCATGAACTCTGTAATGGACTGAGGATCGATGGGGAAGTTGGGCGTCTTGGACAATTCTTGCAGAAGCTTCCTCGCCTTTTGGGAATTATGGGTCAGCGGCTTTTTAGAGGACTCTTTCATGATTTTTGGCTTGACTTCCCTCGCCGAGGTTTGCTGAGATTTAAGTTTCTGGGAACGGTGGCGAATCGAAGGTGTCAGCCGATTGGGGTCAATGTTCTCTTTCGTTGTTGGTTGAGGCGGAGATGGGATCATTAGGATAGGGGTACCAGGGACTGGGCTCAAAGTCCCCGCAACCACATTTTGGTCCGTCGATTGGTCTGATGGGCTTGGCCCAGTCTGTTTTCCTGACTTGAGAACCTCTCCGTGGGCTTGAGGCCTTTTCTCACTTTCCTTCAACCCAACGGGCCGCCATTCTTGAGTAGTCGTTCCATTATTCTCTGGCAAAGAACTGTTACCGTTCCCCGCTATTTTCCCTTTCGGATTCGAGATATTGCCTTTCTTGTGCTTCTGCCTTGGATGCCGCCTTTCCTTTCCCTTCCTTTCCTAAACTGGGCCTGAACATATCACCCTTTCCTTGTTGATTTGCTTTTTGATTGACTTTCCCTGAGACTCCCCCCGCGGCCTGATTCTCGCCCCTTGTTACTGGCCGCAATCTGCGCTACTTTCCTATTCTGTTTTTTACTCTTTCTCGTCACTTGCATCCATGGCCCGTAACCGGAGGGAGACTCCGACGACGGTGACGATCCTTCAATGGGAAGAACGGGGGTTGTTGTTGTCAAAGAAACGTTTGCAACATTACACACTTTTTTGGAGCAAGACTCCTCGGTGTGGCCTATCCTGCCACACTCAAAGCATATCTCCGGTAAGTTCTCGTAGAGAACCGGTTGCCAGAACCCGTCCAGCCGGATCCGAGTCGCCAGCGGCTTCGTCATGTCTAATTCCACCGCTATCCGAGCAAACTTCCCACGTTCCATATTTTCTGTATGATAATCAAGCTTTACCTTTCTGCCAATAAGATTCCCCAGGGCAAATAGGACCTCCCGGTGGTAAAAATGGACCGGAAGCTCCGGCAGCTGGATCCATGCTACGACCGATTTGTGGGGTCTATCAGCAGTTCTGAATGACGGCGACCATTGGTGGACAACAAGATAGTGATCAAGTATTGTCCATGGTCCCCCGGTGAGAGCGTGAAGGAAATCTTGATCGTTATGGAACGTGACCAGAAAGGTTCTGTCATTCAGATCCAGGATATCCAGCCTTCCGGTTGGGTTCCATTTCCACCACAGTTGGGAACACAAATATGCATAGGAGATCGAACGCCCAAGCAGTCTGACTACAAGAGTTTTCTTTCATGGGGAGCAGAGACGATCCTTGAACTTATCAGAAACCTTGAGCTCCGGCTCACCACCAAATAGCTCGGGTTCAAGATCGTGTTCTCCGGCGAACGTCCATTGATTTAGCTTGGGCGGTGAGGTCTGTGTTGGACCAGCGAGAGCCATCTTGAAGTTGAGCGGAGGGAAACTCGCCGGATCAGGAATCGCGAGTTGCTGTGGAGGAGTCAAGGATGGGCCTGGATCCGGTGGACGGCCAGCTTGTGGTGGAACAGTCGCCGGAGGGAAAGAACTTTCCGGAGCGGTACAGAGCATATTCAACCGACACTTTCTAATTCCCTCTAATACATTAACAAAAGTGTCTAATTGAGATTACTACATGTGTCATGAGGAAAATTAAACAACTGTATTACTTGTGACTAGTTCTTACCCGGTTTGTTGGTCGGAGAGTTTAATTATCATTTATACCAATTGATTTATCTATATGTTAAATATTTTTTGAATCACCTACATTTTTTTACTCTCATTTTATAAACGAGTATGTGATATGCTTATATTAAAAATTCTCAATACTTAGCATACTCACCTATGATTCTATTATTTCTAACCAAAAATCATATCGCGAAGATTTATCACATATTGAGGGTCACCCTAACTTAGCCTAGTTTAGGTGGCTTAGAAAGCGGAAGTAAAACCAACTCGATTGATTCTCCCTTGAAAGGGGGATTTCCATCTCTAAGCTAGGCTAAGGTGGCAAATTAGATTACTAGCACCTAAATGCACAAACCTAGGGGTTCTAAGCACAACTATGCACAATCATTAGGTTGCTAAGCACCTAAATGCACAAACCTAAGGATGCTAAGCACAAAACATGCACAACCCCTTCATTTTTGTGACTTGGCGTGAAAAACCTGGCTAAATAATTGCAAGTTTGGTCACTTAAATTACTAGTAAATTTCACGATAGCCACTAGAATTACTTTATTTCATCCGTAGTCACTTAAATTAGGTTAACAGTTCAAATTTGGTCATTGGCCATTAGTCTTTGTTAACTTTTGCTGATGTGGCAATCAACTTTTATAGTTGACCGTTAAATGTGTGACGTGGCAATTAAAATAATAAAATATATTTATTTTTTAATTTTCATCTAATTATTGTACATTAAAAAAATCCTAATTTCTTTAAACCAGTCCTGGCCATGGCGGATCAGCAGCAGCCACTATCGCTATCACGGAATTCCTCCTTGGGTCAATCGAGATGGCGGCGAGGTTGGTCCGGAGGTCGGCGAGGCAGGCAGCGGAGACGTTGGCGTTGGGAAGGTCGAAGATGCCAACTTCATTATCTGCCACAATATACATAGTTTGCTTAATTACTTCCATGTACATAAATATCCACATCCCCATTCCTAGTCCACAACATTAATCAGAAAAATCCATCAATGGCTGCTCTCACGAGTGCTCTCCCACTGCTTCTGCTAGCAGCCGCCTTGTTACTAGCTACACTGGCAGCCTCGACTTCCAGGCGGCTCACCCAGCTCGACCCAACCACCTCCGCCACCAGCGGTTTTCAGGTCACCCTAAACCACGTGGACTCCGGCAAGAACCTGACCAAGTTCGAGCGGCTCCAGCGCGAAATCAATCGGGGAAACTATAGGCTCTAGAAGATCACCGCAATGGTACTGGCCCAATCCACTCCCGAAGCAGACGACGTGGCTGCTCCGGTTGTGTCGGGCAATAGCAAGTTCCCAGCACCTCCGTCTTCGAGCTCCCCAACGCTAATGTCTCCGCCTGCCTTAGACAAGGCTCGTTATTTCCATCCTTGTAACTTTTTATTGAGCTTCTTCTCCATGAATTTGAAATATTCCTTCTTAGATCTCAAAATTATTGAGCGGAGATAACAATCTTGTTCGCCTATGTTACCACTCCTAATTGAGAACCTAACTCCAAAGCTAGATTTTGGTTCATATTGTGACTAAATAAGATAGCTGATTTGCTCAGATTGATACGTTGACCACTCAAACCTTCATAGGCATGAAAAGAGACAGGAAGGTCGTAAATGAATGTAGGGAGGCTGCTAAAAAGAGATAAGAGTCATCTGCAAATAACAAATCAGAAACCATAGGGAAATATGCATGGATTCTCACTCCTTCTAGGTATCCCATCAAAACTGCTTGTCTTAGAAAAGTGGGGAATCCTTCTGCATATATAGCAAATAAGAGAGAGGAGAGGGGGGTCCCATAGGCCTATTGAAGGGCGAAATTTTTTGTAAATGATCCCATTTACTAGGACTGAATATGACACTGTTGTGAGACATTCCTTAATTCAATATATGAACTTTTGATCAAAGTCTAACTCCCTCATCATCTAAAAAAGAACGACCATTCGACATGATGGTAGGCTTTCTCCATATCCAATTTTAGAGTCATCCAGGTTTTCCGATCCGAGATCATTGTTTTAAGATGATGAGAAATCTCATGGCAAATTAAGATACTATCGGAAATTTGACGTCCTTAAATAAACCATCCCGAGTCTATGATATTATAGTGGGCAACCAAAATTTTAGCTAAGATTTTATAAACCACTTAGCACAAGCTTATGGGTCTAAGATTCCTCATGGATCGTACGTAGAGGTTTTTTGGACGAGATATCCAAGTTCTATTAATGGATCGCAAGAACCTGAGTGGAAGAAGGCGAGGACAACCACAATAATGTCTTCACCTACCAGATCCCAATAAGGTTGAAAGAAATAGTCTGTAACCGTCAGACCTTGGCGATTGATTTCTACCTATACTGAAGACTACTCCTTTAATCTTCTCTTGCGTAGGCGCTCGACTATGATCTTTAGTGCCCAGTCCATCAAATGGAAAGTTAGACAAATCAATTCATCATGTATCTTGGGATTGGAACAAATTTTGGTAAAAGCTTACATCAATATCTAACTTTTCATGTTCGTTTGTACACCAGTTCCCCCTAGCATCCTCCAAACCCAGATGAATTTAGCTTGGAGCCTAATCACGGTTATTAGATGGAAATAAACAGTATTTTGATCACCTTTTGTTAGCCATGTAACTCACGATTTTTGTTTCCAGAACAATTCATCCCTCTTAAACGGAATATTCAATCTATCTTCCAAATATTTTATCAAGTTCCAATCGACTATATTAGAATTTCTAGCATTATCTAGAGCGAGGGTAAGATCTTTTATTAACTTGGATGAATTCAAAGTACCACCATTGCACCAATCAACCTAGGCATGACATACCCGAAGAAGTCTATAAAAGAGGAAAAATTTTAAGGAGCCATGAATAGAAGACCCCAAAAAATTGAAATAGTCATCTGGCTCTTGATATTCCGGGGTCCTCTTAAGTCTTAAGACATAATAATCAGTGATCTTATCCTCTGTATAAAAGGTGGTAAAGGCAGGAGTCAGCCAAATATTCATCCAATATGTGAAGACAGGCTCTGTCAATTTCTTTGTTCTATTAAGACACTGTTCTTACCACGGTTAGTACACGTAAGTTTAGGCTCCTGACATCTCACTTAAAAAAACCCAATGAGGTTAAAGAAATCCCATATAGGGCGGGCCTTATCCATATGTCAGGGGGTCCCTCCATATTTCTCCGCTAGGAACAGAGAGCTGTTAACATCCCCAATGATGAGGAAGGGATATGATCATCGGAAGTAGAAGTCCACAAGACCCTCTAGTTGTGAGCGACGCTTTGTTACAACATGTGAAATATAGATAATAATAAGCACAAATCGATATTACATACCATAGGTAAGGGAATTATTGTTGACATTGAAGCCCCACGTGGTAAAGCAAACACCCACCCATACCCCCGCCCAACCCCTACCCCCGACAGGCTAAAAGGGTTGATCGGAAAGCAATATGAAATCCCTACTACTCGTTTATAGAACCAAAAATAGATTAATCCATAACCGAGTAGGAGACGTGAAAAACCTTAAGTAAATACGATCTTAATTACATACCAGATGAATTCAATCTCTAATCTACAATTAGGTCACATAATTCGCTCAATAGGGGTGTACGCTTCCGCTCTAGAGCGGCTAAACGCGAATTTGACAAAATTCATACAAAATTCGCGAATTTTTAATCATTGGAGCGCGAATTTCGGGGGAAAATTCGTGAATCTAATTAAGAGAATCAAAAGAGAGAAAGTTTCGATGGTGATGACAACCGGTTGGTGAAGGGAATGGGATCTGCTACCAGATGGAGGAAGTTGAAAAGATGCAGTCTCCGCATCTAGAAGAGAATCAATTAACTGGGAGAGATTTCGAACTTTGGTAGGATGATTTCTCGTCGAACACAAGAAATTGCAGTATGGATCAAGAATTTCAAATACTGCATGTGGGAGAGCTCGTCTTGGTTTTGAAGATTGGAAGGAGGTAGGGAGAAATGGGGATTTGTCGATGAGAAGGAGAGCATCGACATGATGTAAGGTCTGGTGAGTGAAGTTTTTAATAAGAGTAGGAAGAGATCGAGAGAGGATGACATTGGACATAAGGAAGAAGGGAGCAGAGTCGACGGCTGAGATTGCAGTAGCTCTTTAGGGTTTTTGAGTTTTGATAGCCAAGTTGGGCTCAATAGGTACCATTAGTTGGGCCAGTGCAAATTGATTTCTTCTTTGACAAATTTCAATGGGCTGTGCTTACTGCTTAGCTAGCCATTAATTTGGTTTCCACTTTTATTTATAGGTAATTAAAAACATTAACAATTAAACTGATATGTTTTTTATTTGACGTAGGATTTTGAATTGGTCCCATTTTTTCTATGGTGTGGGATATTTTGTCAAAATATGATATTGTTTAAATAATATTTTAATTAAATAATATAATATTAACGCTCTATTGGCGCTCTAAACTTACAATTCTTCATGAATAGACGCTCTCACGCTCTCCTCTTCTCTCTCGCTAGCGCTCGACGAATCGGTAAGCTAAATCTACAGCAGATCAAATTTTTCTTTTTCATTTTTGTGACTTGACGTGAAAAACCTTGTATATTTCTTGTATCTAACTATTAGAAAGAAAGTAACTTTTTCCTACCCCTTTGTGGGTTTTCTCTAGTTCCATTTGCTACTTCCCTTGTGGATTTTGCCATGAACTTCTCCCCGGAGATGTTTCATCCTCCACACTTCAGATCTGGTTTTAGATCTTGAAGTCGCTCTTGGTTACAGAGGGAATTGGTTTGCAATTTACAGCTAGTTTGTTGACTTTTGGAGCTCTCCTCCTTGCTTCACTCATTCTGTCGTAGTGATTCGGTGGTTTGGCTTGATGCCTTTGGGTTCTACTGTCTTCTGATCGGCTGTAGGGATGTTGGGTTTCACGTTGAGTTTTTTGTTACCTTTTTTCGTTTCCTTTGTGGTTTGCTTGGCCTGGTGGTGTTGGGATGATGTTGGCTGTTTTGTTTGGGGGTGGGTGCTTCTGTTTTTGTTTTCGGTGGTGTTGGGATGGTCGGGGTGTGTTGGTTGGGTGGTGCTCTGTGTTCTTCCGTTGGCCTCATCTTCCTTCGCTGGTTGGTGCTGTTGTGCGGGTGTCTTTTGATGTGGTGGTTTTCTGGGTTGTTTGTGGCGGCGTTGGTGCTTGGCGTGAGGGCTTCTTCCCTTTCTTTTGGGTTTGGGGTTGGTGTTTGGTGGTTCCCTGGGTGGGGTGGCTTGCTGTCGGTGACGGATCCGGGATGGCGAGGTTGCTCTGGCGATTGGGGGTGGCGGTGCTGCTGACGTCAAAGCGCTCGGCGGCTGATGCTGTTTGTCTTGTTGGTGTTTGTTGGGTTAGGGTTTCTGTGGGATTTGGGTGTCATTTGTGATGGGTTGGGCTTTTGGCTGTTGTGGGCTTGCATTTTCTTTTTCCTCTAGTTGCTTTGTTTTCGCGGGTTGGCTTTGTTTTCATGGTTTTTTTTGGATTCATTTGACTCTTGGTGTTGTCCTCCATTCTTCCTGGACCTTGGTCCAATCTCTGTAGCTCTTCCTCATCTCGTAATGAAATCAGGTTTCGTAAAAAAAAAACTATTAGAAAGTAGAAACCTCAGACAAAAAAAAAAAAAAAAACTCAAGTGTCAGTTGCCACTCTGCCATCCGATCGAAAGGGTAATCTGACTTTCGAGTAGTGTTTATTTGAAAATTGAGATTAGTTAGCAATAATTAGCATTTAAAAAAAACAAATTCTTTCTTTTTTTATTTATTTCCTTGTAGTTGTTCGATCAAAAAATTGCTTTGTGTGCCCAGTTTGTTGCCGTCAAAGAAAGCAAAAGCAAGAACACAAACAAGTTCCACTCTTTTCTTTTGCAGGCTGACCGCCGACCTTCCCCTGTATTTTGTTCAATTGTTTCGTTGATCGATTTGCAGCTCACGGACGAAGGAAAAAAAGATTCAACCCATTTTCTGTTTCAGATTCTTTCAGTCTCCGTAGTCAATTTTACTTGGTACCATTGTCAAAAAAAAAAAAAAAAGGATCATTCTGGTGGTAAAATCGTGATCCACAAATGGTGCTACCAGGGCGTGGCCATAGGTTTTTCAAGTATAGACTAGAACGGTAGAACCTCTGTTTCCACCTCAATTCCCACTTGTAATCAGCACCATCTTTTAAAATTCTGGAAACCCAAATCAAGTTCCTCACAATCATTCCTGGGTTCAGCTCAATCTCTCTTTCTCTGTCCGCGCCAGGCAATTGAATCTTCTGAACCATCTTCCTAAATTCTCAGCCTTTTTTCCCCCTTTCGATAAAACCCTATTTTCTTCTGCTGTATAGGGGACGAAAAAAGACAGAGAAATGGTCGCCCAGAGCTACGACGACTGTGTACGCGGGGAAGTGAGAATGGCGTGGATCATGCTGAGTGTGGACTACTCCAGGCTATTTTGGTTATTATTTGGCGTGTTTTCTTATGAGAATCATGAAGGAAAGCCCCGGATTATCTTCCTCTAGTACAAGATTCAGTTCTCCTTTCTCCTCCTCATACTTCCAAAATCCAACTGTTCGTTTAGGATCCCAAACTTGTCTCTAGTAATCAGAGTCAACTTCAAGAAGTTTTTTTTATTTTTTATAAAGAAACCCCTCTTCTTAGATCCTTCCCTTCCTTCTGGGCTCCTTAATCTCAATTCTCAGTTTAGCAAAATGTACAATCCACGATTAGCCGGATATGTTGATCGGGCGACGAAGCCGCCACCGCCTGGATACGTCGAGACCGACCCTTCTGGTCGCTATGGCCGTGTAAGTTTCTGGTTTCTCTATTCTGAATAACCCTTTGCCGCAAGTTTCATTATTATCCTAGTATTGATGTATGGTTGTCGAATTATGGAACAATCATGACAGTTGTGCATCTAATTGAGCCTTCACTCACTGGAGAATTTTCACTTGTAAATGTTTCTTTGGCAGAACTCCTGTATTTTCTAAAGACTATATAAGTTTGTACCTCAATAGTGAAATCACCTTGAAGTTGTTTTAGGTTGTTTGTTACTTGGTAGGGGATTTTGCCATTGTCTTGTGAGATCTTTTCTTACTGTTCCTTCAGTTTAAAGAGGTTCTTGGAAAAGGGGCGATGAAGACAGTGTACAAGGCATTCGATGAGGTCCTTGGCATGGAAGTAGCTTGGAATCAAGTGAAGCTGGATAATGTCTTCCGCTCCCCTGATGAGCTGCAACGGCTCTACTCTGAAGTTCATCTTCTGAAGAACCTGAATCATGACTCCATCATCAAGTTCCATGCTTCGTGGATTGGCAACAACAAAAGAACGTTCAACTTCATTACAGAGATGTTCACCTCAGGCAGCTTAAGAGAGTAATACTCAATAAACGTAGCAACTGCAGTCCCCACAACAAAACTCAAGTTATTCTAACCTTGTGTTGTTGTGATATGCCAGGTATAGGAAGAAGTACCAGCGAGTGGACATTCGGGCAGTGAAGAACTGGGCGCGCCAAATCCTCTGTGGCCTTGCATATCTACATGGCCATGATCCCCCTGTGATCCATAGGGATATCAAGGGTGACAACATCTTCATCAATGGCCACCTGGGGCAAGTCAAGATTGGTGATTTGGGATTAGCTGCTGTTCTTCGTGGCTCACTACATGCCCACAGTGTCATAGGCAATAATATATTCCTTACCCAAAAAGTTCCATCTTTCCAGAAAGCAAATTGGTGGTATCGGAGATCGTTATCTTACTTGGCTTCTGTTATGATTATGAACGCATTCCAGGGACACCAGAGTTCATGGCACCTGAACTATATGAAGAGGAGTACAATGAATTGGTGGACATCTATTCTTTTGGGATGTGTGTTCTGGAGATGCTGACTTCTGAGTACCCATATTGCGAGTGCTCCAATCCTGCCCAAATCTACAAGAAAGTTACCACAGTGGGTTTTGCTTAATGCATCCATTCATTTCGTAACAATTTACATGAAAGCTACTTTCCAAAGGTTGTTTTTTCTAACTCACTTGTTGTCTGTCTATCAGGGAAAGTTGCCAGAGGCGTTTCACAGGATCAAGGATGCTGAAGCCCAGAAATTTGTTGGGAAATGTTTAGAACCTGCTTCAAAGAGGTTATCAGCCAAGGAGTTATTGTTGGATCCATTTCTAGAGTTCGACGAACCAAAATCGCTACTGATATCAAAGTTCTCATTTCACAACTCAACTGCCAATGGTGATGAAACGAAAAAGGAAATGATGATGTCATTCTCGGATGATCCCTCCAAGACAACAGACATGACAATCACAGGAACACTGAAACCCGAGGATGACACAGTTTTCCTCACCGTCCAAATTTCAGACAACAATGGTATATATAGATGTAGTTACAGTAGAATTTTCTCATCTGACCTTTATTATGGACAACTAGAATTACAAATTTTAACCCCTGCTGACATTCAAATTCCAGGTCACACCAGGAACATATACTTCCCCTTCCACGTAAATGGCGACACTGCAATAGATGTCGCTATGGAGATGGTGAAAGAGCTGGAGATAAGCGACTTGGAACCCACTACTATTGCTGAGATGATTGAGGAGGAGATATCATCTTTAATCCCAAACTGGAAACAACCGGAAACCTTCATCATGTTCCACCACCAACAACAGCATAGCTTTAGCTACGATGAAGTAGAAGAAGATGACATGGGACGCAACAATGGTGACATGATCCATCACCCATTCTACTCCAACTCCTCGAACTCTTCCTCCAGGGTTTCTGTCCTTGCCTATCACAGCTCTTCCTCAGAGAGTCCACATTACGAAGGCAATGTATCATCGTCAACCATAACCTTAGGTAATATGGGTCAATGTTAGCTTTCTAATTCGGGGTAGTTGATGGGAAATGAGATTAGTTCTGAGATCTTTGTGATGTACAGGGAAGCTGCTGATGGACACTGATGATGACGATGATGAGAGTTCGGGGAGCTCTTACAACTATTCGACATTCAATTACTGCTCCGGGAATGAGGATGCTGTGGTGGAAGATAAGATGGTGAGAGAGACAAAGGAGAGGGTGGAGAAGTGGAAGAGTGGCGGTGGTGGGAGAGGCTGCAGTATTATGGGGCAGAGGAAGGTGAGCAGGATAAGGTCGCTGTTGGATAAAAGGAGCCAGTTGTTGCATCGCTCGTTGGTGCCAGAGGCCAACAACAACAGCAAGAGGCGCTTGTTCAAGACTGTGGGAGCTGTTGAGAACATCGGGTATCACCTCCCTTGAGAGAACCCTTCGGGCTGATAATCATGAGAACTCTAGAGAGGCTTTTTCATCGACACGTTTCTTTGAGTTCCCCAGGGTGTTGTTGCGTAATTGGCACCAGAGGCCGTGCAACCAAAGTTTATGGAAGAACATTGGTGTTTCTATTGCTAAAAGACAGCGACTCTTCGTGGGGTGTGTGCTAAATAAAGCTTGCAGAGAACTGACAATTAAATTTGGTTCATGATGATTTGCTGTTATTTGAACTATTATAAACTCTTTTTTCGGGTGAAATGTAAGCTCCGTTTTTTAAGTTGTTGTACAGAGTAATGGGCTCTAAATGATTGAAAACAGCATTTGTGAGGTTCACTTTTTGTTTTTTTTAGATTAAACATTAGTACGAGATTACTAATTATTTTTTAATATATAAAGCTGAAGTTTGGTCCAAATTTTACATTTTAATACCCCAAATTTAATTTTAATGTAAATTGGTCCAATGTTTATATTTCACTTGAATTCATGAATCCAATCTACCAATTCTTGAATCCAATCCATTATACCCCAAATTTAATTTTAATGTAAAATCCTTGAACAATTATGTTTTGGTATCTAAATTTTATGAGTTTTCGTACCTACAATTCTTAAAATTTACATATTACTCCAATACTTAGATTTCACTTGAATCTATAAATTCAATCCACCAATCCTTTTGAACCAATACATGAATCCAATCCACCATAACATAAAAGTATAAATTTAGTTTGTACCATACAAGATGTTGTATCATTCAAGTCTCAAATGTAGAAGAAGATTCGACCATTTTATATTTGCTTATAACGTGAAACATTAAATAAATGATAAAAGAAAGATGAATCTAAATTATTATAAGTGGGCATTTATAAACTTATTTAGTACATTTATAGGGTACTAAACAAACTTCTACTAACTACATGTAACAAAATATGTCAGATCTATATAAGTAAGTATCAATAAATTGCTATGGTGAAAAAAGTTGATTGTTGTATTGACAGCCAACTAAAAGAATTGGTCAAAACCTTTCCATCATCTCCTTCATCTTTGTTTCATTTTTCACTCGCCTTCCATAACACTTTCTTTATTTCTTTCTTTGCCTTCTTCGTCTAACCCTAATTAATATATTATCTTTATGATTCTGATCCCAAGTATGAACGGGTCAATACACGACTCACCAACAGTCTAGAGAATTAATAATTGAACCATGAACCACTAACTTTTTCAGCTCAATGTCAAGTCCAATTAAAAATAAATATATATGGTTATTACTTATTAGAAAGTCGTCATTTTCCACTATGGGATTTGGAGGCATGAAATTTTAAACGAGTTCCAATTTGTATTCCTTGTGCTTCTCTCTAGAGTTTTTCATTTTCACTCGGGCTAGAATTTTCAACAATTATACATGGAATATTTGGCTAGATATCTACACATATCAAATATATAGTTTCTATTTTTTCTATAAAAGGGTAAATAATTATCATTTTAAATACATCACCATAAAAGGTATTAAGCATCAACTATGCAAATTAGAGTTCGGTACCTAAACTTAATAGATCTTTAGATTAATAAATTAAATTTATTTTTTGACATATAAGTCCTCAAAACATTGATAGAACGTTACATTTTAGTACCTAAATTTTTTTTATGGTTAATCAAAATTGCATTAAACTCTAGGATCCTTGTAACTAAGGATCCCTCTCCAAAATACAAAGTGTACTGATTACAAAAACCATCAAACTAATAGAACCGAAAACAAGAAGAGCTATACTAATGAAAACTAGGAAGAGCAATCTGTGTATCAATTCTACTACTAATCAAAAAGCGAGCTTCAGATCGAATCTGAGTCACCATCTGGGGGGGGATGCTGCAAACCTGTGCCATAACACCTTTTACATCTTTCCCTCCATACATAGCTGATCACCATACTCCATAGTAGCTTACCAAGTTTACACTTTATAGAAGCATCATCCCAGAACCTTACCGCCCATAACACAGTAGCATGCTAAGAAGTGTGGACAGGAAGAGGAAGGAAGTCAACCAAAGTATGCTGCAGCACATAAGAAGTATATGAACAAGAAGCAAATAGGTGATCACGAGACTCCACCCCTCCTGGACACAGCACACAAGCTGTGTCCTCTACCTTCCCCCATATAGCAAGTTTATCACGTGTGTAGATTCTATCCAACATGATGAGCCATAAGATCAAAGCATGTTCAGGAATAAAAAACTTACCCCAAATCAGCTTAGACCATGGAACTTCCTGCTTAGTGGAACGGATAGAGAGCCAAACCTTTTTCACAGAGAATCTCGGCATAGGCTGCCCTGACCAGCGCAAGGACACATCAGCACCCGTGATATATTGATGGGCCTCCTCCCTCGCCTTCAGTATCCTCTTCCAGACCCATGAACCCACCGAGGTTGGAGAAACCTCCCAAATGGACTTTGCCCTGAGCCTGTACTTCCTGATCCAAGCCACCCAAAGAGAGCCACTTCCAGCCAGAATATCCCAAATGTGTCTTATAACACAGGTGCGGTTCCAGACTCTAAAATCCTTCACTCCAAGCCCACCCTCTGCTTTCAAAGTAACAACATATTCCCAAGCCACCAAAGGCTTCACTCGTGAACCACTCTCCCCCACCCCCCATAGGAATCTGTTACATATAGTCTCAATGTCTTTTAACACACTCTAAGGAAGGAGGAACACACTCATCCAATACTGAAGCACACTAGAAATCACCGAGGAGACAAGTTGGAAGGAAGGAGGAACACACTCATCCAATACTGAAGCACACTAGAAATCACCGAGGAGACAAGTTGGATACGACCACCATAGCTTAGGGATTTTGAGTTCCATCCACGGATCCTTACAGTAATCTTGTCCACTAATATCTGGCAATCAGCTTTAGACAACTTCCCAGACAAAAGTGGCATCCCCAAGTACTTAACTGGGAATGTACCCAATGGGAATCCTGCTGAACCAGCAATGATAACCTGGTCCTCAACTGGAACCCCTCCAAAGAAAACCTGACTCTTATCTGGATTACATTTCAAACCAGATAGAGAATAGAAATCCTCCAACAATCCTTTAATCCCCTCAACTGCCTCAAAAGAGCCATCAGAAAACACAAGAAGGTCATCTGCAAATATTAAATGGGAAATGGCCAGACTCTTACTTCGTGGATGGTATGGTATCTGACCCACTGCAGTTGCCTTAGCCAACAAACAAGAGAAGACCTCCATGGATATGACAAATAAGTATGGTGAAATCGGGTCTCCCTGCCTAAGGCCTTTCTCCCCTGGGAAATAACCACACAACCCCCCATTCAAACAGACACTGAACATTGGGGAAGACACACACACCCTAACTCTGTGAACAAACCAGTCTGGAATACCCATAGCAGTCATAACCGTAAAAAGGAAAGACCAATTAACCGAATCAAACGCCTTCATTATTACATTTTGGTGCCTAAACTTTTAAGTTCTACAAGTAGGTCTAATTTTTGTATATGTAACTAAAACACTCTCGAATAAATGGGTATTCATACCCAACTCATACACATTTAGATCATGAAAGTAAATATCCATACCCTACCCAAACCCATCTACAAACTTCCAAATTCATATATACGTGACTCATACCTTACCCATAATCAATGGGTCTACTTGGGTTTAGGTAAATATCATTTATTAGCCAAATTTTAAAAAAAAAATTAATGTTGATCGCCATATATCTCTTCTCAGTCAATATCATATTATAAATTAATGTTACTAACAAAACTGCTAACAAAAAATTAATTTAGGCTAATAGTACTAACAAAAGACCAAAACGGGCCACATAATACATGTCCATAGGTCATCTCCGTCCCGCGACAAGACGCGGCATCACCACCTAGTTACTATTAAAATTGAATTAAAATTATTCCTTTTTTATGAGTACAAGCTGGCTTGTGTGTTTGTTCCGGTTCTTTGTATAACCACCTCTACTAAAACAACATTTCATGTCCACCTAGACGACACATTTCATCTTTTTGTTTTTCTTCTTGATTTCACATTTCCTGTATTTGAATATTTGTGCCGAATATTATGGCCTAACATTTCATTCAATTTGGTGACAACAACTTTATGTAGATGATTCAAATTATCATTTGTAATAATAAATTGAAGTAAACTTTCAATTTATTTCTCATTTGATAAACGTATAACTCAACAAACTGAGGAGTTTTCAAGAGCCATCTGGGCTGCACAAGCAAAATCTGAGGTCATCTGGACCAAAAAGGTATGCTAAGGGGAATGAAAGATGGGTATGGCCCATGCCTATAATTTTCTCCCTACTTGCTATGAGCTTCCAAATCTTATTTTGAGGGAAGAAGCATGTGGAGAGTAAAACTCCCAACGCGGCATCTATCCAACGGAACTCCTACGAGGAGCATCCTACATCCCCTCACCACAATAAGAAAACTCGTAACCCCATGAAGACTATGGTAAGCACCTTCGTCTCGAAGAAGAAGGTGGAAAGGAATTTCATGCCTCCTCGGGACAATGAATTGTCTCTTGACTCGGGAATGACCCCTCCTAACCGTAAATACAAACGTTTTTACAAGAAGGTCAAGTCTACCGCAAAGGTTCATACAAGGACCAGTCCTCATCATAAGAAAAATTGCAGCCCCAATGACCAAATTTCCTCTCATTTTGGCAGATGGGGTGCCTTTTTCAACACTCCTATAAATGACTCTGGGTCTGACTAGAGTGTTCTCAATGATTTCATCTTTACTTTAGGAGGGAAATAAGCTGTCATACCAATGTTGAAAGCTCTTATGGGGATGTATGTTCCCTTAAGAGCAATTAGGCAACATCTTGGGTATGATCATGAGATATCTCGCAAGCTCATGATGGATAACATACCTTCCCACATGCAACTCATGGTACTACTTGGCATTGAGATATAGATTACTCTATCATCTTTGGGAGGCCTTATTAGCAACTTCTAGTGCATTGATCGATGTTCATAAACATCAACTTACGATGAGAATCAACAATGTGAATCATATTATACAAAGATTATTCTGAAAGACAAGGAGGAAGGCGTCGATGCGACCCTTCCATTTGACATGGAAAAGGAGCTCGAATTCCATGCTACAGAATCCAACGAGAGGAATTCGCTATCATAGGATAGCAAGCGAGAGTTTGAGGAGATAGTACATACCTTACACATCCGTATTGATGACTCACCCACGACTCACAACTTTGCTTCTAATCCATCCCTCATGTCATCTGCCCCAAATGATCACTTTGGGTAATGGCCCTTAGATCCTCATTGGTCAAATCAATAGGAAGAGTTCTAGCAATGCCAAGCTCAAAGACGTTAAAGAGAGGGCGCTACATTAAAGAGAGAGCGTTATGACGATATT